TATATATATGTATTAGTATACAGTATTGGTCTTTATCTTTCTGGCTTACTTCACTCTGTATAATGGGCTCCAGTTTCATCCATCTCATTAGAACTGATTCAAATGAATTCTTTTTAATGGCTGAGTAATATTCCATGGTGTATATGTACCACAGCTTCCTTATCCATTCGTCTGCTGATGGGCATCTAGGTTGCTTCCATGTCCTGGCTATTATAAACAGTGCTGCGATGAACATTGGGGTGCACGTGTCTCTTTCAGATCTGGTTTCCTCGGTGTGTATGCCCAGAAGTGGGATTGCTGGGTCATATGGCAGTTCTATTTCCAGCTTTTTAAGAAATCTCCACACTGTTTTCCATAGTGGCTGTACTAATTTGCATTCCCACCAACAGTGTAAGAGGGTTCCCTTTTCTCCACACCCTCTCCAGCATTTATTGCTTGTAGACTTTTGGATAGCAGCCATCCTGACTGGCGTGTAATGGTACCTCATTGTGGTTTTGATTTGCATTTCTCTGATAATGAGTGATGTTGAGCATCTTTTCATGTGTTTGTTAGCCATCTGTATGTCTTCCTTGGAGAAATGTCTGTTTAGTTCTTTGGCCCATTTTTTGATTGGGTCATTTATTTTTCTGGAGTTGAGCTGGAGGAGTTGCTTGTATATTTTTGAGATTAATCCTTTGTCTGTTGCTTCGTTTGCTATTATTTTCTCCCAATCTGAGGGCTGTCTTTTCACCTTGCTTATAGTTTCCTTTGTTGTGCAAAAGCTTTTAAGTTTCATTAGGTCCCATTTGTTTATTTTTGCTTTTATTTCTGAAATTCTGGGATGTGGGTCATAGAGGATCCTGCTGTGATTTATGTCGGAGAGTGTTTTGCCTATGTTCTCCTCTAGGAGTTTTATAGTTTCTGGTCTTACATTTAGATCTTTAATTCATTTTGAGTTTATTTTTGTGTATGGTGCAATTGACTTTTAAATGTTGAAACAACTTTTTATTCCTGGGATAACCTCATTTTCTCATGGTGAATAATCTTATATGTTACACTTATATTCATGAAGAATAGTAGACTGCAGGTTTCTTTTCTTGTGATGTCTTTGTCTGGCTTTGGCATAGAATAATAATAACCTGAGTTGGGAATAATTCTCTTGGTTTCTGTCATGATTTAAATAAACCTATCTTGAAATTGTACAATATACATGGTAGATACACATGGAGGTATAATATACATCTATAATCTAGTGTAATTTAACTTAATTCATTTAGTCAATAATCTCTTAACTCATTTCTTGCTACTACTCTGGTCCTCTTACAAGATGCATTTCATCATCTCACTGTCTTCTTCAGTATACTCCTATGGCCTGCCATCTTATAATAATATATCAATTATTTACTTGCCCCAGAAGGCACCCTTTGACTAAGTTTCTGCCTCTGATCCCCCCCCTTTTTTTTTAATTTATTTTATTTATTTATTTTTTACAAATCTTTTTTTTTCCATTTATTTTTATTAGTTGGAGGCTAATTACTTTACATCATTTTTCGTTTAATTTTGGCCACCCTGTGCAACATGTGTGATCTTAGTCCCCGGACCAGGGATTGAACCCATGCCCCTTGCAGTGGAACTGTACAGTCTTAATTACTGGCCTGCCAAGGAAGTCCTCTGACCCCCTTTTAAAAATAATCTTTACCTTTCTCATTCTGCTCTAGCTATTCTATACTCCTTGCCTTTTCTCAAATATGCCAAGTTTTTTCCTCAGTCAACAACTTTGTACTTACCATTCTCCTTGCTTGAAAGTTTTAGTAAATCATTCTATTGGTTGTTCTCTCACTTCTATTACTTTTTCAACACACTGCTATCATCTCAGAGAAGAGTTACCTGACTATCCTATTTAAATAAACATTTCCCCCAGAGCCAATCCTCATGATACTCTATTCTCTTGCTCATTTTAGTTCATTGCACTTATCACTTCCTACATTATATCAAATATTTAATTGCAAAATAGTTTTCTGTCTCTCTCCCTTATTTGAATGTGAAATCCATGAAGTTTGGGACTTAATCTGTCTTGTTTATCACTTTGTTTCAAAGTACCTTATTAAATACCTGAGCCATAACTGTTTCAACAAATATTTGTTGAACACCAGAATTAATCATGACACATTCTGTTGATTACTATGAAAAATGCATGGAGTTATGTGAGAAAATGAGGGGCGTTCTTCAGATTACTTACACCAAGGAATCTCTTGAATGAAATAACATTTCATAGGAAGGAGCTCTTCTGGCAAATAATCAAATGGTGACTTTTAGACAAAGCTAATAGCATATAAACTGGCCTAAGTTCAGAAAGATCTTGAGATGCTTAAGAGAATTTAATGAGACCATTGTACTTGGAGCATAAGAAATAAGATGGAAAGCGGAATGAATTAATGTTAGAAAGCAAGTATAAAGAAGATTGTTCAGCTTCTTACAGATCAGTTTAAGAGTATGAATAGTTTCCTAAGTATTTGAGACGTCTATAAGTTGATTAATCTGGAAGTCTGTCACTTTAGAGATAAAGAAATGTGCAGCCAAGCAGCATCAGGGGGCTGCCTTGGTGACCTTGAGGCCTCCCTGCTGTCCCTTGGCTTTATGGCCATGCCTATCCTTGAAATAATAAGTGAAGCTTGACACGGGATAAACCAGTGAGTCAGATTTGACATTCTAATCATCTGCAGTATCTGAAAGGCCCATGGAAAAAAAATCATTTAGCAATGGAATAGAGGAATTGAAACCTGATGGTTGGTAGTAGGAGCAAGGGGTGATGAGAGCAGGGTGGCGGGGGGGATGTCCAAGAAAGAAAAACCAGATAATCTGGAGGGAAAGTATGAAGTGTCATGGAACCAAGGAATAAAGAATTTTGTAATGCACCTTTTATTAGGGTTCAGATAGCAAAGAATCTGCCTGCAATATAGGAGACTCATGTTCAGTCTCTGGGTCGCGAAGATCCCCAGGAGAAGGGAATGGCTACCCACTCCAGTATTCTTGCCTGGAGAATCCCATGGACAGAGGAACTTGGCAGGCTACAGTCCATGGGGTCGCAAAGAGTTTCACACGACTGAGGAACTAACATTTTTATTTTGGAGTATTTTTAGGTTTACAGAAATTCAGTTAATATAGTACCAAGAATTCCCATACACTCTCTACCCAGTTACAGCTTCCCATATTATTAATAATTTACATCTCTCTGGTACATTAATCAAGACTAAGAAATCACCACTGTTGTTAAAAATACCCTGGATCCTTTCCACATTTCATCAATTTTCCATTAATGTCCTCCTTCTGTTCCAGGATCTGATCCAAGGTACCACATTGTATTTAGTTGTTCTGTTTCATTATTCTCCTCTGATCTGTAATGTTTTCTCAGAATTTCCTTATTGCTCATGATTTTGACAGCTTTGAGGAGTCGTGATCAGGGTATTTTCTATTTAGGTTTGCTTGATGTTTTATTGCATAATAAGACTGGTGTTGCAAAGAGCACCTCAGAAGTGATATCTCTTCTAATTATATCATATACGGTGGTATGTGAATCCACATGGTTCATTACTGAGTCAGGAATGATGTGGAATTTTGATCACTTAGTTAAGATGTTATTTGCCAGATTTCTCCACTGTTCATATCTTCCGCTTTGGAAGCGAGTCCCTAAGTTCAGCACAGACTCAATAGCGAGCGATCAAAGTTCTACCTCCTGAAGGAAGAGGTATATTCAAAATATATTATTTTGAATTTTTCTTTAAGGAAGATTTGTCTAAAAGAAGAGAGACTTAAAAAGGAAGGCGTGGTCATATTCTACTGTACAATTTATGCAGATGAAGACCCAAAAGTCTTCACTGATTTTGGCAAAATGAAGATGGAGGCTACCTTAGGAAGAATTATTTGAATTTAATTGTAAAAATGGGAGACATTACTGGGAAGAGGGTGGCTGGGAGAGGAAGAATTAAAGATAGCATATGTATCTTTGAAGATGTTTAGCTATAAAGTGGGACTGGGAATGAGGACTGTAGTTCAGGATTCATGAGACAATGATATTACATTCTGACCTTTTCATGCATCTTGTTCTAGAAATATGATTCTCAATTTCTTTCTTTCTTTTTTTTTTTTTTTGACTTAGCACGTCCCCAGCATGGGGTTAACCTCCAGCCAAGGGCCCCAAGCCAGGTTTTGAGAGATGGAGGAGAAGTGGGAAGCCTTGGAACCTGGGAGAATACCCCTAGGCTGGCAGGCGAGCTGGTCTGGACATTGCCTGTAGGAGCTGAAAAGTGAGTTCTAAATCAGAGCATCCTCCGTCCCAGCTCCCAGGCCTTGGGGCTCCCAAGTTTTCTGATATAACTCTTTACCTCCTCCTCAGGCTTCTTTGAGGTATAATTGATGTATAATATTATGTGTTTCAGGTGTACAATACAGTGATTTGCAAATTTTAAAGGTTATACTCCATTTATAGTTATTATAGAATATTGGCTACATGCCCTGTGCCATGCAAAATATCCTTGCAGCTTGTTTATTTTATACATGGTTCTCAATTTCGGTTCAAATTTCTAGTGATCATATTTGTAAGAGAATGCAGCTTTCAGAATCTTCAACTTGATTAAATTCAATTAAATTTACATCACCCCATTTATATCAAAATCCAAAGTTGTTATCATAGATTAGGTTACATTAAATTTTTTTTGTACGAAAAAAAATTCTGTAAAATAAAAAGCAGATCCAGGAGAAAAAGACCCATTACTACTTGAAATCAAATTTGTAGCTAACATGTCCGTGATTTCCTTGTTAGTAAATATCAAATCTGAGTAGATGATGCAGCCTTCCATCATGTAGCCCTGCTTGGTCAGTACTGGGAATTTAATAAATTTTGCCTTGACAGTTGCAGGCAGCCTTGCAATTGGTCTTCACAAAATCAGAGGCACAGGTCCATGTTTTCTTTAAAGATGCACAGTTAGAATAGGTATCTTCATACTCACAGCTATTGGCTGGAATAAAAGCAAAGAGAGTAATCACTTCATTATCATTTTCTTCCATAGCAGCAACACAAACAGTGAACTCAATGTGAGTGAGAAAGAGAAAATTGAGCAAACATGTTGGCATCATTACACTGTGATGAGCATTTCATAGCTTGAGGGACACATACAGTCTCTTAGTTAAACTAATTGATTAGCTCACCATTTATTTTAAAATTCTAATCTTTTGAAATGTTTCTAAAATGAATTGGCCTCTTTTCCTTCCTCAGAAAACAGAGTACGATGAATTTAAATGAATCTGTCTAGAACTGCACTGTCCAAAATGATCAGCACTAGACAGGTGATTGCTTACATTTAAACCTAATTGAATTAAAATAAAATAAAATTAAAATTTTGGGTCCTCAGTGATACTAGTTACATTCCAAGTTTTCAATAACCAATGTGGCCAAGGGCTACTTTGAGAGAGTATAATTAATTTAACATTTCCTTGAATGCAAAAAGTTATATTGGACTCTGTTGCTGTAGACTCTAATACTACTAGTCTTTCTTTCAGGAATAAGAAATCATTTAAGAAGATGTGGGTGCAAAAATGCAAAAACAAAAGGAAATTACACCATGATAGTTGGGCATTTCCATTCAGATTTCCCTCAGTGGCCGCAGACTCAACACATCTCAAGCCAGGTACATTATCCTACCTACAAGCTTGGCAGTTTTATAGTATTGCTTCCCAACTCTCCCCTCCTTTCACCCAGACTCAGAGAAGTGGCATAATTTAAACCAGGCACTAGGAATTAACCTGAACTCATTCCCTTCTATATTTCTAGTTTCTCTCCCTTTCTTTTTAAACTGAAGTATAGTTGATTAACGATGTTCTCCCCCTATTTTTCATCAGCGTGCAGCAAGCATAGGTAAGAAACACTGGCTCTCCCACATTCCTCCTATTTCTTATCACGGTCCATTTCTCTTCATTCATTTTGCCCTCATGCAGTAAAAATATTTGTTTTTAAACCTGTGTTTTTCAACAGTCTCCAAGCTGGATTCCCATCCAATTGTTTCCGTATGCTATTGCCAGGAGCTCTTTGTAAAACACAATTCTGATTTCATCATTCTTCCATTTGAAATCTTTCAATTGGTTGCTCATTAGTACTAGGATAAATTCCAAGCTCCTCAACAAATAGTATTCAGCCCAGGTGTAATTATTTTCTTCTGTAGTTAATTTATACAAAGCTTTGATATCATCAGTATTCTGAGTTATGGCTGAGCAATTCTGCCAGAGAGAGTGCTATAATTCAGTTAGGTGAATGAATTTAAAAGGTAGAAATTTCAGTTGATGAGTTAACTGCATTGTTCATAATAATTTTAATAACATATGTCAACTAAACAAAAACACCAATGCTGTACTTCTATTAACAACAATATGGAATAAGACTTACATGACATTAATTTCACTCCTTTTGCTAAGATATTTTTGAAGTTTCTGTGAGCTAATAACAGTATAAGCAGATTTGATTGACATTTTAAAAGTATATAAAAGTTATTAGCAGACAAAAGTGCAAGTGTTCATTAAACTAAATTTGATGATTAAATTACCCTATGGGAAAAATGAATTTAGTATGATGAACTCATTAACATATAAAGAATTATAATTTTCAATATGCCTGTCCTGGTTAAGTCATATTCTGTAGTATCACATCTTTATATTTGTACATATTTCTCCTTTTAAAGTTCCATCTTTGCTATAATGGCATTAACTTTGATGAAAAGAAAGTTCATATTCAGTTACAGTGATTAATTTCCACAGAAAGTTTTTCAGATATGCCAATATGTCACGGGTTCAACATAGCTACAGATATACATTGGTAGTAGATGTTTCTTTAGGTTATGTACAGTAACAGACTTCATTACAAGTAAGAATTCTCAACAGTGTAAACTTTTTGCTTAAAGGCACTCTATTGAATAATTTTAATTTTGCCTTTTGTAGGAAGGCATTGCTTAAGTTGGTTATATTCAGAATATTTTCTAATCCTTAGCCATGTCAGGTCATTTTATTATATTAACAAGTTAATGGTTTCAAACTTACTGCATAGTCCGTTGTCACAATGATTGGGGCAGCTGCCACATGGTGTTCCCCGTTGGTAAGGGACATGTTGTTTGCCAACAATATTACCACTGAAATTTGAAATACAAAATGTCAAGCATTTTTCATTTTTCAAGTTTAATTTATGCTCCAAGGGAAGCATCCATCATCATATGGGCCTAAATATCTTTCAGTGTTTTAAATCATGTCAAGACTGAAAAACTGACATTCCCCAAGTGTACTCAGAACGCAATGCAAAGTAAGAATAATTCACATGTGCACTTTCATTCTTGACCCTAGTCTAACAGCCTGAGCCGAAATGGGCTAATAATAGGCTCTAAAATTTACAGAGTGCATTTCAGTGTGGTAACAGTTTTTACCTCATAGTAAACTTGATGGAATTGGTAAGGCTGTGCACCCCCACATGCTGACAAGAGGTAAACATATCCCGTTGAGAGACAGGGAGAAATTGGTTGTGCCTCAAATTTAAAAAACTCTTCTAAACTTTTATTCCTCCTCCCTGCTATTGAAAAATTCTTTTTTAAAAGTCTGGCTTGTCCATTAGATAACAATGTTAAAATACTCGATTGCTGATGGCATTATGTATTGACAACAAACTTGAAAGTACATACTTACGCAGGACAGTATTGGCAAACATAGAGGTACTTTAGACTTTGTTTGGGACAGTAGGCAACTCCACATCCAATAAGGAAAGATGAGTACCAAACAATCTATGAGCACATAAGTGAAAATAGGAGAGTACATTAGAGAAGAAAATATATTTAAAAAACTATAATAAGAAATACAAAACCAAAAAAAAAAACTTACTGATATATTGTGTTTCTGCATACCTTATGAATATATTTAGTTAAATTATTGAGCAGAAGTACCGACCTTTTATTTTTATTTTATTTTGGCCACTCCATGCAGCTTACGGGATCTTTGTTCCCCATCCAGGGATTGAAGCCAGGCCATGGCAGTATAAGTGCTGAGTCCTAACTGCTGGACTGCCAGGAAATTCCCTAAAAATCTTTAAAAATACTATATTTCCATGTACATTCACTATTTAATCCATTTAGACTGTAAGAAAAATACAGGGTATATTTCCCCATTCAAGGTATGCAGGCTTTTGACAAATGACAGCTCACTGCTGAAATACCCACAACATAGTAAAACCACTCTTTACCCATTTGAGATCTTCCTTTCAGTTCAACATTGCAATCAGTCAAAATTTGGAGAAGCCTCCTTTTTAAAGTACTGATGTCAGAATGTTTTTATCTGTTCCCCTTACCTGGGTGAAATGTCCAACTACTGCTTGGGGACTCTTCGGCCCTACTTCAAAAGCAAAATCATGGACCTCATCATACCAGTTTTGGATTGCATTAGACCATGTAGAAGGGTAACTTGACATAAAGAGATTCTCGCCACAGTTCCTTGTACCTGAGAAGGAACAGATCATTCATGGGGAAAGCCATAAAACATGCAGAGTCCCTATTCTTTGTAGCATTCATAACTGTTAATCCATGAGGGAGTTTCTCATCAACTATAAGCTGGAAAGAAGTCAGATGTGCTTAATACCTTAAGAATGGCCTCAACGTGCACAATTTTGAGTACATCAAGTTTTTTTTTCTTTAGTATCTGCTCTCCCTATATTCATTGATTTACACTTTTAATTTTTCATGAGTATATACCCTAACGCATACTCGGTATGCTAAAGGCAGAGACTAACTCAATTTCTCTCTGACTCTTGCCCACATTCATCAGAGATTGTTTTATACATAGGACCCTAAATAAATGTTTATGATTGCTGTTCTGTATGAACTTTGAAAAAAAGCTAGCACTCAGCCTTTAATTAAAAATCCCAATATGAAGCAAATGGCACTAGAAGAGACAATATTTTTAAAGACTGTGAGTCGCCCCTTAATGAGCAAATAAGAGCATCTCAGGTCAAATTCTCAAAGAATAAGGAAAGAAGTGCCTTGTAGCACAACAGAAATATTTCAAGATATTTTTGAATATATATCTCAATATATTTTTCAAGTTGAATAGTTCGAATTAGATGGCTTTAAATATAATGTCTACATGCTACTTTAAGGGAGAGCAAACTAAATTACTCTTGGATAAATCCTTTAAGAAAGAAAGAAGCTAAGATTTTAACAGTAGATTGGGATCTTCAGGACAATTTGTTCCAATCTTCTACTGAATATAGTCATCCCTCTTCCTGATTTCACTAAATTATAGTAAAAAAAATACAAGTAACAATGACAGTTCTACATTTAAAACAGGTAAGTCATTTGCTTCTTTCAAATTGGGCTTGCCTAAATCTATGTCATTTTTCATAATTTCAGTAAATATTTTATCTAATATTTAATAATAAGATATTTTATCTCATTGTTTCTATGTTTCTTGATGCAGAAGTCATGTCTAACAGGTTATTTTTTAACCTATATGGTAATGATTATATGGCAGGCACCTAGAATATACAAAAGACTTGACATTCTGTCATCAAAAATGATATAATCAAACATATGTTATAAATACAAATATAAATAGGTTTAAAAATCACAACTGTTTTCTATCTGGCAGTTTTCTATTCTATAAAATAGAGGAAGAGATGACTCATGACTGCTTTACTTAGGGGATGGTTAAGAGGCACAAATACAATATTGTATGAGCGTTTCTGTAAAATATAAAACATGCAATAAGCACAATGTGATACTTCTCAGAATTCTTTCTCCTGCAGAGAGTTTTTAAATTGAAAAAGGCAACATTAGAAGCAATATTTATTTATAAAGCTTTCTTAATGTAAGGTCAAAAATAGCCTTATGGTCTTGCTTGTTCACGGACTCAACAAATATATTAAATTACATACCTACTATCCTATTCTCTTTCTTACTGTGTTGGAAAAGGCACTTGTTTGCCCAATTCTGGGCATTTTCTGCTGCCTTGCTGTTCCATTGCTAAAACAAGAAGAGAAAAAAAAGATGCACTCAATGACTTAAATTACAAAGGAGCATAAGCTTTATGATTAGAATAGTGGACTATTCTATATGAGTACAAATTTTTTCTATGTGCATCTTCTGCTTATCATGACAGTCATGGATATCTTTTTTGCATGTCTTTTTCTGCTACACAAAATCATACATCTACCCTAAGTAATCAAAAAATCTAAGAGAGTTAATGGTCTATTTTTGATGTCACAGTAGACACACCTCAGTTTTTAGTAATGATCCTCTCTAAATATTGATCAACTCACGGAGGTGTTGAGATTATTTTTCCTATAGTACTGAGCTGGCATACTTTACTCTTAGTTCCTTTTATTTTTTTTTCAGTAAGTACATCTGGGAGACATGTGGACTTCAGTACTGGACCTAGAAAAGTGGGCTGTTATTTACCCTAGATCAAAAGGTAATAACCCTAATAACCTAAGTTAGAAGAAATACTGAGCAGAAAGACATCTCTCACTGATATCTAAAGATTTGCTTTTACTTCTGCCCCCACAATTTAAATAGCCCTTAAAACTAGACAAGTTGCTTCACTATAATAAAGCAAAATTTAGGAGACTAATGAGACAATGAGCTAATGAAGGCCCCTCACTTGTATAGGCCCTTTCTGAGTGGCAATAAGGCATCTCAGAAGATGTTTGGCCATTTTTGGGGGTTGGAGTGGTAACATTTGCAGTGGTAAGATATTTTTATGTTCTCTTTCTTAAAGTCAACAAAACTTGGATTTCTCCTACTAATAACATATCTTCTAGAAAAGGTCTAGGTGATAAATTCCAGCCCAGGTGGAGTGGACATTAATCATGAGGATGGTGTGGGTGATGGTATCGCAGTCACAACTGTACAGAGAGAAACTAGAAGGAAAGGAGCGCACAGGCCAGAGAAGTGATGAGAAAGCTGTTTTTATCAAAAACAACAGAGAAAGCCTAGTGAAAGTATCTAAAAGTCAGCTTATTAAGGTCAGAAGGCACATACTAACCTCAGCAGCCGGGTTCATGGAGAGGCTTCAGGGGTTCCATGGACACCCTGAAACTTCATACTCATTGTATATGTATGTGTGTATATGCATTTTTCTTTCTGGGAGGAGAAATTCCACTTTCAAAGATGGTAAACTCTGAAATAGGCATGGTAGAGTATAGATTCTGACAGATTAAACTATTCTAGTGAATAGAATACAGAAGGAGGAAGTATGATTTTTAAGCAAAAAATAGTATGCGGAATTTAAAAGAAGAATTTCTTCCCTGTCCATAATACAGCTCAAATGAAATAACAAGGCAGAGACACAACTTCCGAAGCTGAAAAGTTCTTAAGAGATGTAATTTACTAGGTGCCAGCTCTTACCACAGCCTGCTCAAGCCACTTTTTTTAATGTGACTGCTTCTTACCATCTTCAGCATGTTACTGGGAGGGGGAGAGACTCCTCTCCTTAGGTCATTATGTTTGTTGACAATCTCAGTTTGGACTTTTATCAGGGTGGTTGACAAATCAGCAAAACGTAGATCCTGAAGGAAAGTCAGATTAGGATTCGTTTTTAAAAGTTTTGAAATTGAATAGAAGAATGCATAAGTTAATTTAAGAGAAAAAAGATTATTTTCAGACAAGTTCAGTTCAAGTCAGTATTATTAAGCACTGCCAATGAATCTGAGCCCAAACTATAATTTTTAAGAAAGAAAGAAATAGTGTTGAATTTTAAAAGTCGGGCTGTAATTCATGCTGTGATGATTAAAAATGCCTCGATGAAAATTCCCTGGTGGTCCAGTGACTTTGTGCTTCTGTTTCAGGGGGCACGTGTTCGATCACTGGTCAAGGAACTAAGATTCCATAAGTTGCGTGGGCCAGCCAAAAAATAAAAACACCTCCGAAGCTATAAATGCCACTTTCTAGAATGAAGAGACATCTCAGTGTGAGTTTTCTAGACATATGAATGAAAACACAATGACAGAGTTACAAGATTGGAGCCATTAAACATTCTTGTTCACCCTCGATCAGGCTGCAGAAAGGGTGTGATAAGGGTAGAGGTAGGTGGATCCTTTTAGACCAGTGGTCTCCAACCTTTTTGGTACCAGGGACCGATTTCATGGAAAAAATTTTTTCCATGGACCTGGGGTGTAGGAGATGGTTTCAGGATTATTCAAGCATATTATTTCTATTGTTGTTATATCAGCTCCACCTCAGATCATTAGGCATTAGATCCTGGAGGTTGGGAACCTTTGTTTTAGATGTTTGGGGAACCTTGAACTGACACGCTGTGTGTATTTAGAGAAAGCATGTTTAGGCGGAGTCCAAGGGCACTCAATACTCCAGTAAATAATTCTACCTATTATATGACAGACTTTATGGGGTCTCTCAAAAGACAGTTTAACAATAGTATAAAAAAAATCTCCAAAACAATTTGGAGGGAGCAATGCCATTCCAATTAATGAACTATTGCTGACTTTGTTCCTTTTAGTAACAGAAATATAATTAACAGGGTATTAAGTCAGGTGCTGATATTTTTGCTGTATCTTTGCATGTATGTTGGGGAGGCTTGAGTCTGGAGGTAGAATAGGGTGTGTGAATAGTTCTCAGAAAGTCTGAGCAATTTGGTGACTTAAATTTACAGAAGAGTCTGATGTTATATGTACATGAGCAAAATTTTGTAAGCATTAAGCCCAGACAGGGCCTTTTGTTGATTTTCCCTGACATCCTGGGATAAGTTATTCTCTCCCTCCCCCAGTGCTAAGTCTCCTCAAAGTTCCACAGATACTGTGAACATGGGTCTCACCATACTTTATTGACACGATCTCATTATGTGTCCATTTCTCCTGCCTGTTTGTATATTCCTAAAGACAGGGACCAATATTGAACGCGTGGTACTCCCAGATTGGGCGCTTTCCCAGCTATCAATTCCTAAATTAGCAAGGATGCCGATGTAAAATACCAGTTGTGGCCAATCTCTGTATAAAAGTAACTGTCGTTTTGGACTGTGAATTTTAAATCATTATAACTAGGCTCAAACACATCCTTATTAACCAAAATAGGAACCATTGCAATCAACACATTTTTGCCAACAAGAAATAAGTTTGTTTATTCCTGTAGCATAAAAATACTTGCTTTGGGATTCAGTGAACCCTTAGAAAGCATTTTCTGCCTCTTTCTGGTGGCAGAAGAATTTTCCCTGCAAAAAAGTTGTCTTGATGCTTGAAATTGTAGTTGGTTGACGATAGGTCAGGTGACTATGGCAGATGGGGCAACACTTCATAGCCCAATTTGTTCAACTTTTGAAGTGTTGGTAGTGCAACATGCGGTCGTGTGTTGTTGTGGAGAAGAATTGGGTCCTTTCTGTTGACCAGTGTCAGTTGCAGGATTTGCAGTTTTCAGTACATCTTATCGATTTGCTGAGCATACTTCTCAGATGTAATGGTTTTGCTGGGATTCAGAAAGCTGTAGTGTATCAGATGGGAGAAGGCAATGGCAGCCCACTCCAGTACTCTTGCCTGGAAAATGCCATGGATGGAGGAGCCTGGTAGGCTGCCGTCCACGGGGTAGCTAACAGTCGGACACGACTGAGTGGCTTCACTTTGACTTTTCACTTTCATGCATTGGAGAAGGAAATGGCAACCCACTCCAGCATTCTTGCCTGGAGAATCCCAGGGATGGGGGAGCCTGGTGGGCTGCCGTCTATGCGGTCGAACAGAGTCGGACATGACTGAAGCAACTTAGCAGCAGCAGCACCAGTGTATCAGATGGTCAGCAGACCACCAGCCAGTGACCATGACCTTTTTGGGGTGCAAGTTTGGTTTTGGGAAGTGTTTTGGAGCTTCTTCTCAGTCCAACCACTGAGCTGGTCCTTGCCAGTTGTCGTGTAAAATCCACTTTTTTTGCATGTCACAATTCTATTGAGAAATGGTTTGTTGTTGTTGCATAGAATAAGAGAAGATGACACTTCAAAACGATGATATTTTTTATTTTCAGTTAGCTCAAGAGGCACCCATTAACTGAGCTTTTTCATCTTTGCAATTGCTTCAAATGCTGAATGACCATAGAAGGGTGAATGTTGAGTTCTTTGGTAAATTCTCATGTAGTTTTAAGAGGATCAGCTTTGATGATTCTCTCATTTGGTCAATCAACTTCTGATGGCTGGCCACTGTGCTCCTCATCTTCAAGGCTCCTGTCTCCTTTGCAAAACTTCTTGAACCATCACTGCACTGTACATTCTTAGCAGTTCCTGGGCTAAATGCATTGCTGATGATGAGAGTTATCTCCATTGCTTTCCAACCCATTCTGAACTCAGATAGGAAAAATTGCTCAAATTTGCTTTTTGTCTAACATCATTTCCCTAGTCTAAAATAAACACAAAATAAACAGCAAATAGTGTCATTAGCAAAAAAATATGATAAATGTGTATTAAAATGATGTATACTTAACCATATTTATTTAAGAATGTATTCCAATATCAAATAGCAAAGTTCAACAATGCAAAACCACAATTACTTTTGCACTAACCTAAATACATCAAATTGTAAAATAGCTCCCTGGATATGTCCTTTTGACTCTGAAAAATGTAGTTTCATTTCAAAGTGTACCAAAATTTGGTTTCTGAAAAGTCATTATTTCCTGCTTCTTACCCTATCTTGCTTTGTAGATAAATTCTATTGAAGAAGACATGTCTTTTGTTTGTTTGTTTGTTTTAAAAATGAGCATCGATGAAGTTTTTAAGTGACAGGTGATATGAAAAGTGTTGAGAGTACAATGGATAAAAGGTGGTATCTATTTATCCTTAAAGAGTTTATATGGATAGGCAGTATGACATAAATAGATAATTATAACCTGATAACTGAAATGATAGGAGGGATCTACTAGATATAAAGGGAGGAAGGATTAATCCTCCTTGATTGAGCTTAGAAAGGATTTCACAAAATACGTCTGGACTGGGATATTGAAAGATAAATTGTTTTTTCTAGGCATTTGGAGAATATGCTCTAGGCAGAGGGTGTGTAGAGTATCTGATCAAGAGACATTTACTGGTGCAAAGGACCCAAATGATGTCTCCCTTTTAAATACTTTTATAAATAAAGACTGGGAGATGGACTGGACATGTAACAGGGGACTAGAAAGGACCATGGAAAGAATCTTCAGGAAAGAAATTGGGAATGCAGCCAACTACTTCAGTGAAACCCTAGCTGATGAATATATTGTATTTGGATTGAAATTTTGATTATGGTAACATAATAGCTATATTTGTAAATGCCAAATGAGGTTAAATGCAATGTCAGAAACCTGTGGATTGAGGAGTCCTAGCTAATCTTGTGTGCCCAGAGTCAAAGGAGGGTGTGGGAACAGACAGCAGCGACCAAAGCTCCTCACATTCAGAGGTTCTCTGATCAGAAGGTGGACACCTTATATGGGCATCTCCACACCAATCATTGGGGAACATGACTGATCCTGTTTGGGAGATTACTAAACTGAAGTAGCATATTAGAAATAATTAGAACATCTTACCTAACATATACTAACTGCAAAATTATGGGTAAAATCAAAATACTTAATATCTTTAGTAAATTTTCTTGCCTTTTAATTTAAAGTATAGATAGAATTATTCTCACAGGGTAGTTATGAAAATTAAATGTGGTGATGTGTGGGAAGAAGAAGTTTTGCTAATTTGAGATCATATAAATATGTTACTAATTTTCTGTGGGAGTCATGTTGAAATGTATTAAATAGAAGTAAATCAGAAAAGATCTTGGGACAGGAGAAGTATCCTTAGCTTTTAAATCCACAAACCAGTGCTGTCATAAGAAATATAATTAAGGCATCACATATAATTTTAATTTAAAAAAAGAAAAAATAAGCATATTAAATTGTTAAGTATAATATATACCACTTGGTGAAATTATTACAATGTTTATTATGTGATCAATATTAAAATTATTAAGGAGATTTTTACCTCCTTTTTTTCCCACTAAATCATGCTGTATTGTATTTATGCAGGTCTCAGCTCACACTATCCTTATTTCCAGTGTTCCATATCCTCGCGTGGCTAGACGCTACCATACTGGTTGCCACAGCCTTAGACTTAAGCACAGCGAGCAACTGAGAAGTACTTTGCGATGTACCAGACACCCTGGTCTTTTTTTACTTTCAAACATTGATCCCTCAAAGTTGCATGAGTTGTTGTGAAAGGATTTTTACCCTTGACCATACCTGTCCCTTTGCAGGAAAGAACGGAAGCCACACAGCCGCCAGGAACAAAACCACCGTGAATAATGCCATTGCTGGGAAAAGAAAACAAGGGAACAAAGACGTGCATTGGAATGTTTAGTGCATGAACTTCTGAGGAACACAGGGGAAAATCGAACACACAAAGTAAGGATCTCAGTTACGCCGGATTCATTAGCTCACAGGAAAAACAGAGGATGTGTCACCAGGAGTCTGTAGAATGATAATGGATTTGGCCCCAGACCTGAGCCTCCAGTGCGGACAGTAAAGAACAGATAGAAACACTGCACTGAAGGCCTTGAAGGTCACCTGTGAATGTTGATGATAAATAACTCAATTCTACCCTGTTGTTGGTGTTGCTAAGTTGTATCTGACCCTTGTGGCCCCAGGGGCTGTAGCCTGCCAGGCTCCTCTGCCCATAGGATTTCTCAGGCAAGAATATTGGAGTGGGTTGCCGTTTCTTTCTCCAGAGCATCTTCCCGACCCAGGGATCCAACCCGTGTCTCCTACATTGGCAGGCAGATTCTTCATCCCTGAGCCACAGGGAAGTCCAATTCTGCCCTAGTTCCACAGCTTTTCCATATAACTATTCTCCAGGTGCTAGGAATGACTTCTTCACATTGCCCAACTGTGATAAAACAACACACACATAAATATATGGAATCTAGAAAGATGGTCCG